ATAATCAATAGAAGTTCTAGAATAGAAAGAGGAAGTCCAATCAACTACTAATGACATATTTAGAAAATACAAAAATATTCTTATCCAGTTTCTCTTTGACTTTCGATCGATGGCATAGCATTTTATTTTTTGAACACACAAATCGACTCCTCCCATGTACTTGTTGTATTGAATTATAGCCAATGGACAAGGAATTTGCTATCTACTTCCATCCTTATTTCGTCGACTTACTTCGCCTGCAACATTTGGATCAAAATAATTTGACGCAATAAAGACTTCCTTTTTGTCCATCCATTTTATTACAGATATTCCATTAGATGTCATATATCGATAATCGCCTCTTTCAAGTTCTTCTTTTTTCTTTAGTTCAATTGGAAAGTATTTTCTATCTGAACGAATTGTACCCATAGCTGAAACATTTTTTTTCTTCAAGCCATAAAGCAATTGTAAGGAATTGAAATAATTGTCAAAAAACAATTGCCGATTCTTTAGGTCTATTGTATGTATTAGTGTCATGACTACATGTTCTCCTAATAGTAGCTGCCGTTTCGTATCTTTCCCAGTATAAATGTCAAAGTTGTATACATATCCTGTAGTTGATTCACTCAAAATCCATACTTTGTAGCCTCTCTTAGTTGGTTTCAATGGCTCGTATTGTTTTATAGAAGATCTTCCTTTGAATTTTATTATTGACTCGTCTATTGAAATACATGATCCAAGATCGTAATTTTCTTGGAAATTTCTTCTCAAAAGATTTAGAAAATCATTTACTTTATATAATTTATTATAATCAGGAGAGTCTTTTAAAGGCATTTTGGAATTATCAGCCAGATGAACATTAGAGAAAAGTCTATAAAACTCGTCTCGAGTCATTATATTTGCAACAGCCGGCGTAAATAAGTTTCTGTCTTGGCTCCAATAGTCTCTAATTCTTGGCAATTTGTGGAATCCCATAATAAATAAAATCCCAAGAAATGCTAACATTTCATTTTCATCGACTTCCTTCCATTTTGAGAAGTCGTCGCCTCGTTGAACACAACGTTGCTTTCCATAAACATTTGTTTGATCTATAATTAATTTGATCACATCTTGATTTATAAACTTGCATAATGAATCTATTGGTTTGATTATTTTGCTGTTTCCTAATGCATGTCCATCAAAATAATTGAAAGAAGTTGAAAAATCTGAGTTGTCAATATTCCATTTCCATTCGGTTATTGAATTTTGATGAAGTTCTTCAACTAATGAATCGCTATCTTCAGAACTACTGGAGCCAAATTCATGTAAACTAATCATACTTTCATTTTCATCAAATAGACTATCATCAGAATCAGAATCCATTATATATTTTATAGTTTTACGTCTTATGCGTCAATTTGGTTTTAGTCTTTTTTTCTAATTTATCGTCACGTATTGAAGTGAATACGTAAAAGTGAAGTTTATTACAAAAACGAAATATATATATATTACGTAATAGACAATATTATTTACGTAATATAGAACAAGTCAAGGCCAAATATAACGTTTTCTTTGACCTTGATCAACAATAACGAATATAAGTTGCGATCAAGAAAAGATCAAAGAACGAAAGAAAAACAATATATATATGTATATGTATACTTTTGGTGTGCTGCCAAGACAGAACGAAAGAAATAGGAAAACAACAGAAACGAAAAGAAATAGAAAAGCAACAGGAACGAAAAGAAATAAAATATAATGACAATAGTGAATGCCACTATATTACATTTATATATATAATACGCAATGTCTATAAATATACATCAGAGTATTGAGTAGTCTATAGAAATTTCTAGAAAGTTTCACAAATTTTTAATGACTAAATTGGCTATACGGATCAATCCAAGTATTGCATCGTCAGATCTAGTTGGAGAAAGAGTCACCCAATAAGTATAATTGATGATTTGAGTAGGGGTAGAGTTCGCTCAAAGATGACTTAATTTTTGCAGTCTTTTGTGATAGCGCGATGAATTATGAAATTAATTTTTTAAAATTCAAGTTATGTACTCAAACCTTTTTCGTACTAAAGAAACTTAGCACGGTACACTTATCAATATTATCCATACACCTCATCATTCGTACAAGCTTGTAGGAATCTCTAACGGCTTCTCATATTTATAGAAAATATTGCTCCAAGATTCTCAAAAACTAGAGGATTAGAAAATTTTCAAAGTGGTACATATGTGTACCACCAGGACTCAAAGGGTTAAACAAAATCAAAATAATATGAAAGAGAAACACTACGATAATGTATACTTCGAAGAAACGAACCTCTTACTGTTTTAGACATTATTTTTTTTGTTTCAACTTTCTGCATTAAGTCTTTTATCGAGAAAAAGTGTTTTATGAAATTCTCTATAAGATGGCATGATTATCTAAACAAAAATATCTTTTGTTGATTAAAAATTCATCTGAAAAAATGTCTCAGTGCTTTTGAACATAGCCTTTTTTCATTCTTCACAATACTGTCACTTGTTTTAGCAGAACAAATTTTCATAATTTATCGTCGTTTTAGAACATGTTAGACTTCTTTATTTTCGACCTGATTGGCAAAGCATATAGGTTTTTATCAAATCTTAGCGAAATTTGTTCTGCTAAAACAAGTGACAGTATTGTGAAGAATGAAAAAAGACTATTTTCGAAAGCACTGAGACATTTTTTCAGATGAATGTTTAATCAACAAAAGATATTTTTCTTCAGATAATCATGCCATCTTATAAAGAATTTCATAAAACACTTTTTTCTCGATAAAAGACTTAATTCAGAAAGTTGAAACAAAAAAAAAATAATGTCTAAAATAGTAAAAGGTTCGTTTCTTCGAAGAATACATTAGAAAATTGAAACATAATCGTAGTGTTTCTCTTTCATCTTATTTCTTTTTTCGTTTAAAACAAAAGAAACAATAAGACAAAATATAGTAATATGTATTTTAGAGTATTCTCTTTCAAATAGGAAAAAATAAGGTGTCTCCGATATTTATGTGCAGCATGAAGATGAAAATAAAATTAATGCAGAACTTTTGCACGACTTATTTACATCGAAAATACAAAAAATAGAAGAATAATGTCATAGTATCATTCTTTGTTAATAAAAACAAAGGGATTTTTTTTCATAATAAAAAGCAACTTATTATTCATCAAATCTTCTTTATTACAGATAGAGTTGTGAAATAACAAGAAACTCTATGAATGCTTCATGCTATGCTATAAAGCATAGATGCTATAATAATACGACAACAACAGAATTTTATTTTATTTTTTTATACAATACATTCATCACAAATAATAGAAATCACTACGGTTCAAATAGCCTCTCAAAATTTACAAATGAGTGATTGGTCGACAACAGAAACTTATTTATCTCATCATCAAGATTTGTCCAAAAGAGCAAATGAGAATAAAAGTGTTTCAAATGATGCTTGGGCTGTTGATGTTAATCAACATCATTCAAATGATAAGAGCAACAGAAGGTAAGAAGAACTAACGATCGATTCAGTTTCAATATACATCATAATTGCTATGTTTTTAGATGGATATTAACAAGCAAACTATCAGAATACTGGACGTCATTATCACCATGCTTATATGGTCTATTATTAGGTGTACTCATGGGTGGTTTAATATTGGCTATTATAATCGCAGTTTGGTTAACAACAGCGGGTAAATATACAGATTCTTCTCTGATAGTTTGACTTAAGTTTTGCTAGTTAACAATTTTTGAAATAATGATGTTATATATAAAAACCTACTACTCTACAAATATTAGTCTATCACTTGGAGATTTCATTTTTTTTTATAAAGATGAACTCAAGTGAACAAAAATAAATATCATAAACCATTCGGTCACTTTTCATAATGTGATCCTCTTTCCTGCCTCCAGATAAGGTGTGAATGGGGTGTGAGTGTGGATCCAGGTGAAAACAAAATCCACACCCACATTTTCCTAGAAGTAACGAGTGACCACCCGAAGTGATTCAGAGCTTTGAGCTGATATTTTGTCCATAAGTAGGACCCGATGAGACTAGAAAAAGTCTAAAAGGGTAATGGCTCATTTGTATTTCTTCTTGAGTAACGGCTATTTTACGGGGTTTACCGCCTATGACACAAGATTTACCGAAGAAATCAAATTACATATTTCGATCTGAAACTTTACCCACATGCAGATCTTATGGTCCTTATAGTAACCTAAAAGTCTTAGACGAAGCAAAAGCTTTTTTCTCAAAATATTAAGTTTCTACGAAATGTCGATTTTTTTGACATGTCTGTAATATAGGAGAATTTTCTTGAAAACTCAATATTTCGGAAGAGAAGGTTTCGTTTTGTCTAAGACTTTTAGGTTACTATAAGGACCATAGGATCTTCATATGGGTAAAGTTTCAGATCGAAATATGTAATTTGATTTCTTTGGTAAATCCCATATCATAGGTGGTAAACTCAGTAAAATAACCGTAACTCGAGAAGAAATACTTATAGGCCCTTATCCTTTAGTTTGTTCTAGTCTCATCGGATTTTATTTATGCACAAAACATCAGCTCAAAATCTCTGAATCACTTTAGGCGATTCTCTCGTAAGTTTTTCTTCGCATTTGTTTACATGGAAATAAAAATTAATGCTACAAGAAATTTTGATAAATTCATCTCGAGTTCAATTATTATTGTGTTCACTTTAATAACTCATTAGGACGATTTTTTTTTCTTTATTAAAAAAATCAAGATTAGCATTGCACAAATATATATTTGTCTCAGTTTCATTACGTACAAATATTGATGTTAAATTATAACAATAACTAAAGTAATAATAGGAGTGATAACCACAACACTCTCGACAACATCTAGTCTCTAAAAAAAAAGGTGTCATAAGGCTTTTTGAGGTTTCATTTGTTTATCAATAAACCATCAACAGTTTCTAGATAATTTAAAGAACTATGCCAAATAAAAAATAGTTCCACAGATTTAGAAGAGTTCTATGTTGCAGCATTTTTATTCTATAAAGAACTTCTTCTACAAAGATGGTTCTAGCGCAAGTCGCTTGAACTAAGGTGGATTATTTTTTTGAACGCGATTTAATTAAAGTAAACCTTAAGTAGCTTCACTTTACTAATAATACTAATAAAAAGCGGACGAGAGGCATCATCTAATTATCAATAATAACAGTGAACAGCTATGAATAGACCTTTTAACTTTACTTTCACTCTTCAAGTTAATGTAGCATGCTTTAACACTTTAACTTTAAAAAAATCAAAGTTAAGGTGGTTACAGCATCGAATAATGGAAACTTTGTGGACTTGAGAATTTCGTTAGGAAATGGGTAATTTTTTGAAAATATCGAAATTTTATAAAGTTTAACCAAAGATTTTCAGGGTCGAGGAATCCAAATCGTAAGATGGTTTCTCCACCTTGAAGACTTCCCATAAAACTTTATAAAATATCGTTATTTTTGATAAATAGTCTTTCCCTGGTGGAATTTTGAAGTCTATAAATTTCGAAAATCCATGAATAATGGATCAGACATAGAATTAATCAAGAGTAGTAGATGAATGGTGTTGTATGGACTGTTTTTAGCGGGATAGAACCATATTTAGAAAGAGAAAAAACGATGTTCAAGATAGAACCGTAAAAGCGTTTGGAAATAGTACCCAAATCTAGAACTCTTAAAGTTTAGTATGACATCTTTTATTTTAGAGAATACAACATCAACAACCACCACAACATCAATACCAGGTATGTATTGTTTACGTTTATTAGAACTGATTCTTTTTTGGAAGATTAGTTCCTTCGTAATAATATTCGATATAAAAAAAAGTCTTTCATCTGTCGCATTACCTTTTTCGTATGCCATTGGCACAAAACATTTAGTACCATAAGAATTAAATTCTTTTTCTACTTTTCTAAACGATGACATATTTTGTGAAAAATTGCATAATGTTGTCTAAAGAGATTTTGTTTGACAGATAAAAAATCTCACTTGACTTATATAGAACATGGAAGAGTTCACAATAAATAGAAGACATCATTTTCATACGCTAGAACCAAATCAGTGCGGTCTATGACTGTAAACCTTTTAGGATTGATGACACATGTTTATCTTTTATCAAGTGAATATAATAAAAATTTGCTAATAGGATGGTCAATTACTGGGAATATGAATTATGCTCGATATCATCACACAGCATCCGTGTTATCAAATGGACAAGTCTTAGTTGCTGGTGGATTACGCAATAGTAGTAGTAGTTATTTGAATAGTGCTGAGTTGTATGATCCATCAACAGGAATGTGGACAATTACTGGAAACATGAATTATACTCGATATTATCACACAGCATCCGTGCTTTCAAATGGACAAGTCTTAGTTGCTG